ACTCGGATCTGCTGCAGAATATGTTTACGCATCTAAAAGGTCGCAACACGCGTCGACATCTCTCTCCTCAGCTCTAAAACCATCAGCCATCATCACCATTGGATTTTGAAACCAGTAAAATAGCGGGGAGAGAGTGAGAGGACACTCCACTCTTTTCTTTGCTGTCGAGTCGAAAACAAACAGGGTGCGGTTTGTATAGAGCCTAGGCTCTAAACAATCAAATTAGAGCCGACATTCAAATAGCGTAAAAAAGTGTGGTTTTTGGAAATCTTTATGATGGATTTAAAATATATATTCATATATATTTTCGAAGTTCAAAGTTTCGAAAATAGCGTAGATGGATATATCTATGATATTTTGAAAAATCAGGAAAATTGACAATCTAAAAATACATTATAAATATATTATTTTTAAAATTTTCAATTCATTTTTTTTTTTTCTCATGTTCATGTATCTTGATGTCAAGATGATCAATTTGAAGATATTTAGACATAAAAAAAATATCTTCTAACGAAATTTATGTGGTAGGCTCAAATTTGATTGTTTAGAGCTTCGGCTCTATAAAAACTATTCCGAAACATAACTGCCACCGCTGGCGTAAATTTAAGAGGTTTGGTGCGCCGCGCGCATGCGTCCCCCTTAGCATCAAAGACGGTCGGAGGAGTGGGACCGTAGGCAGTAAGTTTCCAATTAGAACAGGATTTTTGAAAAGTTTTTTTATTTTTCAAAATTCCAAGAACTCCCAATTTTCAAAGAAAAAGTTTGTCTAACGTCGCAGCCCTAAAATGTAGAATTAAATATGCACCTCAAAAGTCCATCTTAAAAGGTTGTTTAGATGTTGAAAAATCCTCTAATTAATCATCTCAACATCCAAATGTATAAATATGAAATAAATGGAAGATTTCGAGTCCGCGAAATAGTATATCTTCCAACAAATTATCTGAACCGTCCATTTTCAAGATTTCCATGTGTTTATAGATATGCTTGATTTGAACTATTTTTAGAGTTTAAAATTTTACAATTAGAGAAGAAAATATATTATCAAGCCATCCTAAGAATTTTTTATCTCACAATTATCTTTATGATAAAATTTAGAGGTGCACCTTAATTGCATTGTTTAAGCTTGCAAACTTATGCAAATCACACTTATTTTCAAAAGATCACAATACAAAAAAAAAAAAAAAAAAAATTTAAAAGTTCCATCCAAAACTGTATTTTATATTTTTTTTTCAAAAAGTCTTCTTCCATTAGTTAAACTTCTGCTCTCTTTATTAATTTAATATCTTCAAGTATACGTTTAGGGAACACATCAGAAGTGGGACTAAATTAAAAATCTTGATTCGAAAAAACAATCAATTTTTTTTTAAAAAAAGTGTATTATAAAAATACCATCAATATATTTCCAAAAAAATCATCTTTCAACCGTATATCTTAAAACAAGAGGAAGAGTTTGAGGAATAAACCAATGAAAAATCTTTTTTTTTTTCTAGACACATAATATCAACTAATGATATGCACATGCGTATTACTTGTTAATTACATAAATAATTCTTTATCGTGAAATTATATCTTAAAATGACGATCTAGTAAGGAGAGACATAATTAAAACTAGTTTTAATTACATAAGAAAATATATTATTTACTTATAAGTAAATATTATAAAATTAGATAATATGAAAATACAAACAATATCACATGAAACTTATAATAAACTCATAATAAACATATATCTATTGCAATCAAAACTAATCATATGTTAGGGAAATTTTTCTTTTTTCCTTTTCTTTTCAATTTTATTTTGGATTTTCAAAATTATAAAGAAATACAGCGAGAAAATGAAAGAAATAGAAAAAGAAAACATAATTGAATAAAGAAAATAAGAAATTTTTGAAATTTTTTCATAATAACGTGTATCTATTGCAATCAAAACTAATCATAATGGTAGGAAAATTTTTCTTTTTTTTTTCTTTTCTTTTCAATTTTATTCTGGATTTTCAAAATTATAAAGAAATACAAATAGTAAATGAAAGAAATAGAAAAAGAAAACAAAATTGAATAAAGAAAATAAGAAATTTGCTTTAGATTTAGAAAATTTTAGAAATTATTTATTTTTCTTCCTCAATAAATTTGCTTTTGATTTTGAAAATAGCAAGCTCAAATGATTTATAATAGAAGAAGATAAGTTGTTTTTGTCATATGATTAAATCAGCCGCATTGTTTGTATAATTTCATACATTGTTTAGTCTTGAACATGAGCCATCCAAATGAAGATAGTGTTTTGTCTCTTTTTTATGAGATAAACTATGAAACGCTTATAAAGGTCAAAAATATTTATTCTAGAAAATAAGAAAAAACCCATGATGCAACTAATCACCAAGATCTAAATTGTGATGGGAAAGCCCCTTTTCCACTTCCTCGTTATTTTGATAATTAAAATGAATAACTATTGGTTTATTTTAGATATTTGAGAGATTGCATTGATGTTTCTGATGCTAAACTTGTCAAGTTTGAAATCATAACCCCATAATACAAAAAGTTTGACAATAAATGGATAAGCAATTACTTAAGGACAATAGATAGCTCAACTATTTAAAATTATTGCATGGATGATGGATAAATAGTGCCTATATCACAAACACTTCATTGAAATTTCAACACTTATGAAATAAAAATATTGTTTGTAATTTATAATTTTATAATATTATCTATAAATTATAATTTTAGATTATTTTTTTATTTTTTAGTTTAATATATTATCAATAATATCTCAAGTATTATTTTTTTATTAAAATTATGCATTAATTACTTTAATTAATTCTCTCTCTATCTTTCTCATGGTGACATTTTCTCTCTACTCAAAATTTTCTCTCTTTGAAAACTCTCTCTACTCAAAATTTTCTCTTTTTGAAAACTCTCTCTCAAATATTGATGCCACATCATCCCAAATAGATAATATTACTCCTATAATAGAAATTGCAAAAAGCATGAAAAAAAAGGAATTAAAAAACATGAATTTGAGAATGAATTAAAACTATTATCAACAATTTCTAGCATTAAAACAAAAGAAAACATAGCCTTAAAAAAACCGTCCTACCCACATACATATTTTGATTACATGCACTCAAAAAAGATAGTTCACGTCTCCATGAAGTTAGATTAAAAATAAAAAAATAAAAACTTAGTAAAAAAAAACAAAAATAGAATAACAAAATAAATAGAAATAAACATACCTATTTAGATAACACACATCATCACCTTAGAGAAAAATAGACAATTGCTTGTACCGTGAGTAAAAAATAAAAAATTAGATATAGAAATCAGATCCATATAAAGTGTTTATCATAAGAGAGAAATAGACGTGTGCATGTTTGAGAGACCGAGAGGTATGCATGTGAGTACTTGAGAGAAAAAGAGAGAGAGAGAATCCGTGAGAGAGAGAGAGAGAAAGAGTCATTTATGGTTAAATAGGGAGAGAATATATGAGAAAGAGAATAGAAAGTCTCCAAATAAATAAAAAGCAACTTAAATTTGTATTTAATGCGAGATGCATATGGGTAAAGGCATTGAGAGATGAGTAATTTGCATGATTCAATGAAAAGATTTGCATTTATATTATGGATAGAGGATTTGAGAGAATCAAATAATGAATTTGAATGTAGAAAGAAAGAAAGAGAGAGAGAGAAAAAAAATGAAGATGAGCTAACGTTACACATAAAAAAGACTTAATATGGTAGGGGAGAAAGAAAGAATAGTAATATTGTGTTACCTAAAAAGAGTTTCTCATTATATACATGAGGTGCTCTTTTTCAAAAAATTGAAATAAAAGGTCAAAATCGTAAAAATTAATAATTTAAAGGCTAAAAATAGAAGACAAAAATATTATAAAAAATTGTAAATTTAAGAAAACAAAAACAAAGAAAGAATATATAATCTTTTCCCTTTTTTACATTCACCAATATAAGTATTATTTTTTACTGTATGAATAGTATATAATTTATCACAAATGAAACTATCATTAACATTGTTATCATTCTAATTTTATTTTAATAAATTGAAATTATAAAATTATGATTTCTATTTTATTATTATTATAATAATGAGTATTATTTCTTCATAACTATGAATATAGTTATTGATAATTATTAGGGAAAATTACGTACATATCCGTTATAGTTTCCGTTATTGCGGTTTTACCGAATAGTTTCCGTTATTACCATGGTGTCCAGTTTTTCATGTCAAAACGAAAATTTTAAAAAAATGAGACTTTACCTTTTTTCGGTTGTTGAACAAACAACCTAAAATACACCAATTTCAATTATTAAAGAATCGAAAATTTTAAATTTAGATTATTCAACAACCGAAAATCATTTTATCTCTCTCTTGTGGCGTATTTTCTCTACCTCTCTGAAGTCATAGTTATCAGATAAAATCAAAGGGGAATAACTAGTTTGAGCCTCTAAATTTAGGAAAAATCTTAGGGATTATGAGATTAGAAGACAAGGAGAATTCTTGTGGCGTATTCTCTCTCTACCTCTTTCAAGTAAAAATTTAGGTTCTTGAATAACCGAAAATTTTAAATTTTTGGTTGTTCAAAAACTGAAATTAGCCTGTTTTTTGTGGTTGAACAATTAAAAACACTTTGAATTCGGTTGTTCAACAACCAAAAAAAAAGTAAAGTTGTCTTTTTTAAAATTTCTGTTTTGACATGAAAAAAACGGGCAGGTGGAAATAACAAAAACTATTTGATAGAGCCGTAATAACGGAAACTATAATAGATATATATGTAATTTTCCCTAATTATTATAACATATTTGTAATAAGAGTAATGATACAATGAGACCCTCACCTATAGTAGCTATATAGGACCTCGTCTGTCACCGTAAGACTCCTTGTGCATCTCTATGACATACGGTGCCAAGTCACCCAGTAAAAAAATAAAAAACAGTTCAAATGATAAGTCATAAATAAACAAACGAAACAGAGAAACAAATCTATACAACCTCACTCTCTCTACCATCCGTAAAAGCAAGCTCTCTTCCCAGCGCCAAGCTTTCATTGACATGGTAGTTGTCGACATCTGTGGTCCACGCATGCTTATATTATTCTCTCTCTCTAACATGAAGATATTAAAAAAAAAAACCCCAACAAGAAAAGCAGAGATAGATAGATAAATAGAGAGAGAGAGAGATTGGTACAGTTTGCAGTGATTTGATTTTTACCAATGGCGTTCCCTTCAATCTGGGCATATAGCACGTTCCTGATAGTTGCGTTATGGATAGTTTACAAATTCAAAAGACACAATTGGATCTGTTAGAGAGAGAGAGAGAGAGAGAGAGAGAGGAGGAGAGTAGTATTAACTTAACGTAGTAGTAGGTAGGTAGTACTCGTAGGAGGTCGTTGGTTTACTTAGTTAGTACGTCCGTGGTGGTCGTCGTAAC